GCACACGCACACGCACACACACACACACACACACACACCCTACATCGTGATAGAGACGTTCTCACCTCACTGTCCAGAACCGTTGCGATAACCTCCACCAAGGTGGCAGCACATGTATGGTTCTCCGCATCACAGATCTCAGACAGCAGACCGGGCGTGGAGTAGTGTATCATCTTCCTCAGCAGGTTTAGACTGGCCTTCCTACATCACACACACACACAGACACAGCACTGATTAACACTGATGTACACACACACACACACACTGAGGGACAGACAGACAGACAGACAGACAGACAGACAGACAGCAGACCAGGTGTGGAGTAGTGTATCATCTTCCTCAGCAGGTTTAGACTGGCCTTCCTACATCACACACACACAGACACCACACTGATTAGCACTGATGTACACACACACACACTGAGGGACAGACAGACAGACAGACAGCAGACCGGGCGTGGAGTAGTGTATCATCAATATGGACAGATAACCGGTTTATATACTTAGGTGTGGGGTCCGACAGATAGATTGATAGAGAGTTAGAATTATTGTTAATTTTAGGCTTAGGTATAGAATCAGAGATAGAGTAAGGAATATGGTTAGGTTAAGCACTGGGATTAGAGTTAGGGTTAGAGTTGGGGATAGAGTTATGGATATAATCAAGGTTAGGGTTAGTGTCCAAGATAGTTAGGGATATGGATAGGTTAAGGTTTAGGGTTAGGGTTACAGTTAGAGTCAAGGTTGGGATTAGGGTTAGGGTTAGGGTCAGAGATGGGGCTAGGGTTAGGGTCAGAGATGGGGCTAGGATTAGGGTCAGGGTTGGGGTTAGGGTTGCGGTTACCGCACATTAAAAATACTAAGATTTTATGTAGTTATAGCATAGAAAATTGGATATGAACACATCCAAACAACAATGCATTTTATATTTTCGCGATATTGCCTAATGGCAGAATTGTTAAACTTGTATTTGTGTCGGTGATTAATTGAAAACAAGTGCATGATTTGAGAGAGCCTGTACTATGTCTATAACAGATAAGCAGTGACGCCACTAGCTAATCCATTCTTCCGGCTAGTTTCAAGATAGCAACAAACGATTGTTTACCAAACTAGTAGTTCGAAACCGGCACTTTTTTGGTGAATACGAAGGTTCTAAGACATTTTATTGTTACTCTAGACAATTGCTGTTACTCAAGCAATAACGGTAGGTGTCATGAAAGTGGTGAAAATACTGGAAAACGCTCGCAATAGTTACTTTAAGCTTTAGATGAGTATATGACAGGTAGGATATGTAGAGCAGTAGGTAAGGTACCGTATAGACGTCATCATGCTTCCCTGGAACGTGTCAGCGAACAGCGGCAGCAGCACGCGCAGGTACACCGCAGCCATCTCCCGATCCCCTCGCTCCTCCTCAGCCTCCTGCTGCTCCTCCTCCTCCTCCTGCTGGTCGGGCTTCTTCTGGTCCTTGCTCTCCCCCACCGGCAGCATCCACTCACCTGCAGCAACGCGACAACGTCAATGATAGAGGGCGCTGAACAACAATGTCACTACTAGAGGGCGCTGAACAACAATGTCACTACTAGAGGGCGCTTTCTGGTAGCGTCACTACTAGAGGGTGTTGTACCACACACGCACACACGCATGTACACATGCACACATGCATGCACGCACGCACAGACACACACATGCACGCACGCACGCACGCACGCACATACATGCATGCACGCACGCACATACATGCACGCACGCACGCACAGACATACACACATGCACGCACACACGCACAGTCGCACATACATGCACGCACGCACGCACACACGCACATACATGCACACACGCACATACATGCACGCACGCACATACATGCACACACGCACATACATGCACGCACCCACGCATATACATGCGCGCACGCACACACGCACGCACGCACGCACACACACACACATGTACGCACATACATGCACACACGCACATACATGCACACACGCACGCACACACGCACACACATGTACGCACATGTATATACATGCACACACTCACATACATGCACACACGCACGCACGCACGCACGCACATATGCACACCCGCACACACACACGTGCGTGCGCATGCAACCATGCACACACACACGCACGCACGCACGCACGCACGCACGCACACACGCACGCACATGCACACGCACGTGCACACATGCACAGGCACACGTGCAGACACACACACACATGCACACATACACACGCGCACACACACATACACGCACCCCCACACACGTGCGCACACAGACACACACACACACACATACCCGGTGACTGCAGTATCTGCACGACCTCTCTGTGACCTTCGTCGTTTCTCTCGCGAGCCTTGTCTAGGGGAGTCTTCCCATCCTCATCCCGTAGCTCCGGGTTAGCACCATGACGCAGCAACACCTGTAACGACGCAACGCGACATGACATGATGTGATGGGACGTGATGTGATGTGACGTGATGTGATGTGACGTTACGTGATGTGATGTGACGTTACGTGATGTGACGTGATGTGATGTGACGTTACGTGATGTGATGTGACGTGACGTGATGTGATGTGACGTGACGTGACGTGAT